TAGCCTATGTGTTATTCTGATGTATAAGCTATATTGTGGTAAAGTTTCATTCAAATCCATTCAGTAGTTTTTACGTGAAAGAGTAACAAACATCCATACATCCATACTTACAAACTTTCGCCTTTATAATAGTAGTAGGATAAGTTATGCTCGATGTAAATGCATCCACATTTCGCCATCTATAAATTGCATATACCTAATTACCTCCTATTACAAGCGAGCCTGTTGCAATACTCTGAGCGACAAAAATATTATATTTAAAACTGTTAAAGAAGTGAAAAAAAAACAGTTCCATAATATACATAGGTAAATACATTACTATGTGCAAGATATGTATGTACATTTTATACTATTTATTCATTAGTAAATAATTCAAAATAAATGTATTTAAACCCTTACTTACTTATAATATAACCCTTTGCACAGATAAAAAACCAGATCTATGGTTAAAAAACAGAGGAATAAAAATAACATTTCCAATCATGTTGTCATAAAAATTAGGACTCTATTCTCATCGGCTTATGATTCAAATGACAATAAAGGCACATGTAAAATGATTCATAAATATTTCTAAGTGGTATTTTAGCACCACATAAAGAGAATTACATTAAAAAGTATTAAACCTATAACACCAATGGCAAAGTTTTAACCATTTATCAAATAGCAGCCTGCTAGGGATAAAATTTGAAGTTTATTTATGCCCTAAAAACGAGTTCCGATAAGTACCCGACTCATGTTAAAAGTAGGAAACAAGAAAATAATCTCTTCTGAATTCAATATATTGCTGGTATTGTCCGGTCGACGTAGAAGTTAGAACGGAGTGGTTTTTAGTCGGTAAGAGTCTGACCCTCCCTCTAGTCGTACACAGGGCGGGAAGAGTTAAAACGGTAGGTACCTATTCCTTTTGATTTTTTGGTTGATACTAGCGGACCCGACAGACGTTATCCTGCATATCCATTTGAATGTAAAAACAAAAATTCATTCTAATTAGTTCAGCTGTTTAGGATAAAAAACCTAGACTGCAGCGCCAGATGGGGCCCAACCACAGATGGGGCCCAATAGGGCCGATGCCGATTCGGAGTCGCGGAGAACCTAACGGGTAACCGGGGCTCCGGCTCGACGTGCAGGAGAAGGAACGGGGAGGTTTTTAGTCAGTAAGAGTCTGACACTCCCTCCCGCCCCACCCAGGCGGGAGCAGTAATTCGATGATTTTCCCCCCTTAAAAAAAAAGACTGCAGCGCCATCTGCCGGACTGATTTGTGAATCTAAACCATCCAGGGCGCCACTCAAACGCATACAGAAAAATATATTTAAATCGGTCAAGCCGTTTAGGAGTTAAATGACATACACACGTACAGCAGAATTATATATATAAAGATATGCGTTACTATGCCACATTGTCCTGAAAATCGTATGTACGTACTTAAGTTTGATCATTACTGTACATATAGGCACTGTTACCGGAGCAGGTAAATCAGTATGTGCTTGTCGCAGACAGGTAAAAACAAACACTATCTCAAGCAGGTAAATCCATCGACAGACAATACCAACTGGCTATTATTAGTATGTAAACCACTGCACAATACCCACAACTAATTAAAATTAAAATAATTTAAAATATCATTACATGAATATGAATATTTATAAAAATAATAACCTATTTTCATTTGAGGTTAAAATATTAATAATAAATTGTAAGGTACATTTCTATACCTAACCATAACAGACCACAGTAGACAATCTAGAATATTCGATTGTACTACAAAAGTAGCTTTTAATGCTTAGATAATAAGGTTTGTATTAGCAGTGATAGATTAACCATGTCCTAGTAGCAAAAAATTGCTACTTGCCTTTGGCAAAACCTAATGATATAACCTTAGAGTATTTTCATGAGTGAACCAATTATAAAATTAAAACTCCTTTATATGATTTAATAAAATTACCGCTCATGCTTAACCCGTCACTGCATACTAGGTCAAAATGTACACTACAAAGTACAATCACAAGTGAACTATCTACTCATAACTGAGCAAGGAATGTACAGGTATACCTTTAGGAATGTTTTGTCTGCCGGCCAGTGACGTCAGTTCTATGACAAGCAAGCAGCCTATGACGTCAGCGCCGCAAGTCTTCAGTAAGTGTGTGGCAGCCGTGATGGAACCGCCCGTGGCTATTAAATCATCTATTATGACGCACTTCAAACCCGGCTGTACAGCGTTCTTTTGAATTTCTAGGACGTCCTGAAATTATAATCTTATTTTTACTTTGAGCTAATATGGATATTTATATTTCAATAAATTTTACACACACATTCTACCTACTCAGATCGCTCAATCGCTGTTTGGGCCATATGCCACAAGTTATGACCACCCCAACCGCGCAGTAAATCTTTTAAGGTGCAGGGTTTTAGACATAACTAGCTTCTGTCAGCGGCTTCGCCCGCGATCTCGTGGAATAAAAGTAATCTGTGTTATTCCAGACCATAATCTACCCCAGTTCCAAATTTTATCTCAGTCCTTTCAGTCGTTTTGACGTGATGAAGTAACAAACAAACATACACACATTTATAACATAAGTAGGATCTTTGTGGACTTCATGCTCACAACAACTGCATTAGGTATAAATACTAATTGGGATGATGACAGGGTATGAAAATTAAAAATCTAATCCGTAAGTAAAAAATATTAGACACGTATTTTTTATTTTGTTGTATAATAAAACAATACTTAGATAAATCAAAGAATCAAAGTTTAGGAGTGGGGGCTAAAACGTAATTTCTACGTAGGTATAAAATGTACATAGAAGTGACGTCACGCGACATTACAAATCAATTTATCGTCGAAATTATTCGTTTTGTAAGAAAATAAAAAATACGTATCTAATGATTTAAAATAATCTACCAGACGGACATTAAGATAAAAATTAGTCATCTACCCTATTATTATAACCTCATAAATTGAGTCTCAACGAAGGCCGTATTTAATACGCACCACTAGTTACCAAAAACATTATTTTTTGCTTTCAAAACACTCACCGATCCATACTCCAGCTCATATTTATAAGCCACGACTTCACCAGGCAGCTTGCCTTTCTTCCTGACGGGTAGACAAGCTATGCCCAGCTCAGCAGCAATGGAGAATGAGAACAGAAACCCTCGGGACTCCAAGCCTACGACTGCTTGGACTTCAGGAAACTTCGCTTTGATATTTTGTACTAATAGACTTTGTAGCAACTTGTTTGTGGGACCGTCTGCTATCGCTGAGAATATGTCCCTGTAAGTGAAGAATTCTTTGTTATTAATAGAGCCTGAATGTCGTGGTGGCCCGTAGATTTAAGACGGCCGCTTCTCATGCATAAGGGTGCGGTTGCAAACCTACCAACGGCAACTACCAATGTGACTATTGCCGAGTTATATATACTTTCTAAGATTATTTAGACGCCACTGACAAACGGTGAAGGAAAACATGAGGTGAGGAAACCTGGGCTCATAATTTCTAATTATAAGTTTGAAATCACCAACCCGTATTGAGCAAGCGTAGTGATTAATGCTCAAACCTTCTCTGTGTGAGAATAGGCTTTGCTCAGCAGTAGGCATTATAGGCTGTTGATGATAAAATATCATCCGAATCCGTTCAGTAGTTTTTGCGTCAAAGAATAACATTTATTCTCTCAAACTTTCATGATGATCATGAATAGAGCAGAATATATTTTGTGATTACCGCTACTATTTCCGTGGGTATCATTAGAGCCACCTAACTGACTACATATTTGACAGGGACTGGGCAGCAGCGTTCTCTGGTGAACTTGATGTTTTTAATCCTCTCTTTAAACTCTCGAGCTAGTCGTGGTGACTATGGCAAAACCCAATGGAGCCTACCATATTTTTGCATACCAGGTGACGTCAGTGTAAACCTTTCGTTCTTTTTTCAATAGGGAATTCCCTAGTGTCACTCCATTGGACGTTTAATATGTGACAGCTGCTGTGATTGGAACAAAAACTGGTGAGTAAAAATACGGTAGCCCCCATTAAAGCCGAGCTGTGGACATTCAGCGGGTGTTGGTGATGTAGGTGACGAGAGTACTAAGCAAGAGACAACTTTGATACCTACGTTGGGAAAATATTAATATCATTTAAAATCTTTGTGATTTTTCTAAATTCACGGAGAATATTAATGTAATGTGAATCACTATGATAATGTACCACAATGTGACTACCTCGTTGGCCGAGTGGTCGCAAGTGCGACTGCCGGGCAAGGGGTCTCGTGGTCTCGGGTTCGATTTCCGGGTCGAGCAAAGTATTACTGGGTTCTTAAAAAAATCTCAGTAGTAGCACGGAGTTTGGAATTGTGCCCGGTATATTGCAATAGGCTCACCCCCTATTATATGGGACTCATAACATAAATAGTGTTACATTGTACAGTAGCATAATGTGCACCTCTGCCTACCCCTTCGGGGATAAAATGCGTGATGTTATGTTATGTGGACCACTACCACTGCCTATCTTTTCAGAGAATAAATGATGTGAAGTCATAGAGGTGTTACACATTCTGGTTAAAATGGAAAATTCATACAGCAGTGACAAAAACCCCGAAACAATAGAAACAAAATTATTAATGAATTTACATTTCCAATGAATTTAGGTACAACATTTACCTCTGATAGTATTCTGGGTAAATAATTAAATGTAAAATGGAATGTCATCGTTATTGTTTTGTTTTTCAGAACAAAATAAACATGGCTATACAAAACACATCGAGGTATACAAAACTAGTCTATTTTGATCTCGCTTCATGTACTCTTTCCGCACAGTTCAACGGTCATTTTATACTGGTTTGTATTACTTGATCTGCACCATGTGTACCTATTCGTACAGGAAAATTTTAGTAGGTACGTCTGGTATGTATGTAGGTATATTAAATCAATGTTTACGTGTGAATACCATGCTGTGGCCACATGAACAGATAATTAGTATATGGTTATATTACAGGGATGTTTCAGTAATTATTTACTAACCACAACATTCCTCATACAAAGGTATTTGTACTTAAGTACATGAAGGGAGAAAAAATTATTCAATGATTTCGCCCGCCTGGGTGAGGCGATAAGTGTTAGACTCTACTGTCTAAAAACTACCCCGATCCTACTCCTACCAGGAGCCAGGAGTCTGACACTCCCTCCCGCCACACCCAGCCGGGAGAAGTCATTCGATGATTTTCCCCCATTAAACTGTCAAACACCAAGCGGTCACCGGTGACCGCAACCTATTGTTCTATAATTGTGTCTATAATGACGGTACTCGACGAGTTAAAAAACAGTAACCCGTCCACTACTCCTGTCGTAAGTATATACATACCACAACTAAGTTCACAATTTCAGCACCATTTATAATACTTCTTGGTTACTTTTATTATAAACTTTATCAGTTCAATCTTTATTTTAAATTATAGTACCTATTGTTATTGTTTAATGAACTTTAAAACTATGTGCTTCAAATATGTAACAGCTGGAGTCAATTTAAATTTGATTGAATATATAACAATGGAAGTCTATAGCTGTTACATTTCTTCAATTTACATTGTTCAATAAAGTGAAATGCTACATAACAATCAAACAAACCAACTTGACCTTTATTACTAGAACAATATGACTTAAACTCCAATATCACTTCATATACCTAAACAATTCCAACTTATTTCAGTTCATGACATCACAATAAGTTCATAACACACAGTCAATATGTAAGCTGGGCCCACTAAACAAACAATGTGAAAGGGTGGGCCACTACATACATAGATACATACGTACATACACACCTACACATAGATTTCAATCAGCCAATTTATTTAGTATAGGGGTAAGAAGTTTAAGTGTGGGAGAGACAGCTTCGGCACGAATGGGCCGGCTCGACCGGAGTGATACCACGGCCTCACAGAAAACCGACGTGAAGCAACGCTTGCGTTGTGTTTCGTCGTGTGAGTGAGGTTACCGGAGGCCCAATTACCCTCCCCTACGATCCTCAAACTCCTAATCCCCAAAAGGCCAGTAACGCACTTGTAACGCCTCTGGTGTTCCAGGTGGGCGACGCCGATTGCTTACCATCAGGTGATCCGTCTGCTCGTTTACCGGCTTATTACATAAAAAAAAGAAAATAAAGATTGATTCAGTACAGACAGTAGGTATTAGTATACTACATTATATGCTTTGTAACGAAGCCATATCTTTTGTAACCAGACATTCATAAACTCAGGGCAATTTCTCCAACGCCAGTTAAAGCCCATTTTCGCTGAGCTTACATTTAACCCAAAGGTTGACTGGGAGAAAATGCCATATGGCATTAAGTCCGCCTTATGTACCTTATCTTGTGTGCATTAAAGTGTAAATAAATAAACACATAACATAACATCACGCCTTTTATCCCCGAAGGGGTAGGCAGAGGTGCACACAGAAGTAACACCCACTTTTCACTATTTATGTTATGAGTCCCATGTAGTACCCGGGTGAGCCAATGGCCATATACCGGGCACATTTCCAGACTCCGTGCTTCTACTGAGAATTTTTTAAAAACCCAGTAATACTTTGTCCGACTCGGAAATCGAACCCGAGACCCCTTGCCCGGCAGTCGCACTCGCGACCACTCGGCCAACGAGGCAGTAA